GCTGGTAATAAAAATGGCAAATAAATATACTTACAGTTTTACATCTTGAATTTACGCAAAATGTACTTCCTTAGTTCTGCAAATCTAAATTACATGAGCCATGTCATGGGTTCTCAAGTTTGATTACACATTTCGAAATTCTAATGTAATTTCAACAACATTTCATGTGCAATTACATCCTCCTTACTGCACTCAAAATGAAATGAGCATTATATTTCATAGCGTCTTTTATACAATTGAAAGAGTTCATAGTTTTCGCATTTTATGATTTAAAACATTCAATAACATAACAGATACACACTTGTAGATGTCAACAAGCTGCTCCGCTGCTGAAATCGGATATACTATATGTAGAATTGGCACAGATAAATCCAGTTCATAATCACGAAATTTCGTAGAATCGACAAAACTACCAAAGTATATTCATGCCAGACTAAATTGAATAGTTGTTGCAACGCGCATTTATTCACGACATAATTCTAAATTTCAATTTTAAGTAGACCCAAACGCCATTTTCTTTCCAAAGGGATATCAAACGCGAGACTAAGTTCAAATTTATTGGGGTAGAGTTATGTGCGCATTAATAATGCTGTTCTTCTGTACTGACGAATCTGCGCTTGTATTTTTAGTTTGGAATACAGCATAAATTCAGTTACTTCGTTTCTTGAAGTGTACTTTTGTTTATATAATTAAGCTTTAGGTAGAATAAGAAAATGAGCATATAATAAAAAGGTTATTGCACTTGTATGGGAAAATACAAACTCGTTTTTTTCAGATGGATATACTGCACTTCCAAAGTCATGCAGTATATCATCCAAAAAATCGTTCATATTTTCCCACACCAGTGCAGTAACCAATAAATCTGGCATCCTTATACTGTCATGTGATACTAGCAGTCACTCTATTCCTCCATATTCAGAAGCATTATACATCAAAAACTGATTCTTCCAGACGATTTTAAATCCACAAACTGTCATGTTAATATTGTTTCTCGTCCAGGTTCTAGATGCCGAATAACTGCAGCTGTGAGAAGACTTTAAAAGCATCTGAAGTATTAAGAATATGACGAACCCTTTCATCACAGACAGCCAGGACATCATCCAAAATTCGAGATGCTTCATTTGTGTGAAATGCCATCACTGCACAACTGTTGGATATATAGTTAATTACCAACAGACGTAGCAATATATTGAGCTAATGCATGAATGAAAAGCTGAAATCGATGATGTTATGACACTGAAAATGACACTTCAACAGCTTCATTTGCAAACCTAAGACAGCGTTTTAAAGTTTAACTCTTGTCAGGAAAACGGCAATACCACTAATGATATTATTTAGAGATTAAAACAGAAAACTAAATGTAATAGATGCATGCTAGTAATATCCGAAGAAAAAAAAACAATACATCATTAATGACTTAATTAGCTTAACACTCTTATGATAGATCCTTTTATTATTGGATAAAATAAGTGTGTTAAACTATTCACTTATGATTTTAAATAAGTCATAGCAAAAGGTCTGGCTTTCGTTACTGTTGACGGACACGAAGTGATGAATTTGACAGCTTATCTAGGCAAAGAAAAGAAAATTTAACAGTTTCCACAAACAAATTTAATTGACCCGTTTCAAATAAATAATGGTTGTTTTAAGTTTCAGTTCACGATCGTTGACTTACACTTCTTTGTCTTTCTGTCAGATTGTCTGTCTCTCACAAAAATCTACCTTACTCCAAAACCCTTCTGTATTTAAGCATTTAGTAAATACAGGTATATGATGGTCTTTGCTGGTTTGAACAAATGTAAACTTTATATGCAGTCTGACCCTTCCTTTCTTTCTCATCTACATATATATCTACATGTACCATGTAAACGTATTTTTGGTATCTTTTATTATCGGCTTTATAGTTTTAAGGTCCAAACAAAGAAAAAAAAGGAAAACAAAAGTTCATCATTTGTAAAATATTTACAGTGCAAGATTTGTGAAAAATACTTTCCGATTTGTGTCTCAAGCTCAAATTTTCAACTTTAAAATAATGTCAATCAATAAGCTGACATTTTGATTTTTTTATATCCATGACAAGTGATCGGTAATACCTGTATGTTACTTTTTCCCTTAATACGTATCACAATTCTATTTCACTGTACCAGTACTTCGGTATTTTTAGTCAGGAAGACATACGGAAATTCCCGAATAATCTTGTTAAGAATTTAATGATACTAATTAGCATATTTTCATTTTACATAAGAAAATAATTTAAAAAATATTCATACACCTTCTCTTATGTTTGTATCACTCTACCGATTTTGAAATCAAAAGGCATGAAGGATATACAAAATGCACAAAACTCAGTAATTTCATTCATTGGATTTATAAATTCTAACCTGATTGCCGTCGAGGGGTTTAAAACTGTCAACTTGGCGTTTCGAATCAAACGGAAGTTTATTCAGTAACATGATCACCATATTTGCACGGGTAAGTATGTTTACAAGCAACAAACGTACAGTTCACTGTCGTTGATAATCTCAATAATTCCTCTAATTTACAGAATTACATCATTTAAACGCATTCCTTTAGAAATATTACAATCAGACATTGCAAACATTGGACGCAGACGACACAGATTTTACTGAAATGGACTGAGCAGTCTGCCTGTTCGTTTATATCGAGAACTTCCGTTAGCTTTCATGGAGACAGCTACCCCTTTATAGTCATGTTAGAAATTATAATCAATTTTTTATGTTACCTAGGAGGATTTCGTTTTTAAAATCGATATGGGGTGGGGACAAGCAAACGAGTGGGTGTTCAAATAACAGTATATTTTAGGCTTCATTATCTACCCTTCTTATTATATTAACAAGCTCTCTAATACCCGTACAATGTCTCTACAGGGTGTCAGCAATAATACAAACTTAATCATCCCGAATTAGTTACAGCTTTTACATGACAACTTATACATCAATTAACACAGACATAGAGCAATCATCAATCCATGATGTACTGACTATATCATTTTTGGAATGGGGTGGGGTCTGAGATGGATTTTCTTTTTGAACCTTATATATTCTTTTTTTCTTTTATCTCAAGTTAATTAAGTTTGTTTTAAGAAATATAATGGATATAATATGATGTTATTTTAATCTAAGTACCGGTACATCGGAAAAGTAACGTGATTTGTATCCCTAAAAAATACAGCAGTAAACATATTTATGAACCTTTGAATGATGTATGGCATTCGATTGATCGGTATTTTAGTTTCTAAGGTAATATATGATAAGTCATGGCGAGAACAATTATTTATTTTCACTGATGCCAAATATGTAAGTGACTGAAGCGCGAGTTATAGAAGTTTACTCAATTTACAATGACACACACAAGAGGAAGGACGGACGGACGGAATGGCATAATTCATATATTTTTATTTACCTCTCTTTAATGGTAACCACAAAATTTATTAGTACTGACAACACTGTAAGAAAGCTCTCCGTGACAACTAAACCAACAATAAGGAGATTCATTGAAAATCAAGAAGTACAACAGACACAAAGAAATAAACAAAACAGGCATTGACGAATTAGGGAAAGTTTAAATAAAACGAAATAGAGAAATTAAAAAGAATAAAAAAACAAAGACACCGCATGTTGCTCTGAAGATGCGCCTGGTTGTACCTAGGCATGACATGTACTGTAATGATATTGTCGTTGGAACGGACTTGTCCTTAGTACGCAATCCTATGTTCTGCATTGCAGAGACTATTGACATTTAATCTAGGAAAAACTTGAAAAATGAGAAAAGATGAAAAGAAAAACCTTAAATATAGCATATGTATTACATATAAATAAAAAATTATGATTCCGTTAGATTGGAGGTGTTGTTATTGTTATAGGGTTTAACGCAATATTTCAGCACACGATAGGCATACATGGAGGCCAGTATAAATTGTGGAGGAAGAACCCGCTAAAACCGCGTAAAGAACGACTGAACCACAAGAAGCTACTAGCAAGCTCTCTCACATACCCACATTAGCCAAACCCGAGACTCGAACCCATACAGATAGAGAGGAGATGGCAGTGATTCGTATCGGAGAGAGCTTTTTAGAACACTCGGTCATTCGGGTCCCCCGACATTATATGCTTTATAAACATATCCAGATGGCATTAATTATATACAAATTGGTGGGGTCAGCTGATATACTGTAAATGCTTTCTATGTTAAACTTGTTTGATCTCTTCATAAATCATTGAAAAATATATACAAACCTCGATTGTTGCAACAGTAAAACGTTTTCTAATTAAATTTGTTTTGTAAGGATCCGAAGGTTTTCTAGCAATTATTCTGTTTAACATATTATGTATTATTCTCTGAATTATTTTATAGATAGTGTAGATGTATGGGATTATTTATGTGGTGTGCAAATTCTATTTTACTGTAAGTTGACAAGGGTTCTCAGCACAATAATGTTGTTCATATATGAGAGTGCAGCAATTTTATAAGTGGGGATCATTTCAAGTTATCTTTATTATTTATTGCACATGTGCTGCCCATGCAAAATGGTTATATTGAATTAAAATTTGCATGTGGTCTGAGGTGTTCTTTCTCTGTGCTTATTCGGAAGCAACACCCTCTTGAACATGCAAGAGATGGTGACTATTTAGAAATGTGAAATCGGCTTCCTGTTGTGAAGAAACAGCCTAGTTGCATAGTGTGTGTGTGCGTGTGTGTGTGTGTGTGTGTGTGTGTGTGTGTGTGTGTGTGTGTGTGTGTGTTAGTGTGAGTTGGATTTTTAACGTAGCTTTAACAACTTTTTCAATCATGTCGCTAAAATGTCTGCATGGTGGCAGATTATCGTGATGTCTTGCACTTGAGCATCATGCTGCAGACATGTGGCATCATGTCCCATCCAGTCACATTATCTTGACACCAGATAAACCAGGCCCAATACTAATCTTTAAATGCTGGGGACCAATTAAGGCAGCTTTCAGTACCATTTTTATAAGTTTTGGTATGAATCGGCCGGGGTTTGAACCTGCGACCTTCTGCATCCGAGGAAGACGCTCTAACCATTAGCCACCGTCGTCTCATGGCATTATTAAAGATGGTAATACGGTTGATATTTATAAGTCGATCTGAGGTATTCTCGTTGAAATTTCGTTGCAAGAGTTATTGAGAAACACCATCATTATGTCCCTACCTGAGACTGTGCTAATTTGGAAGCTACAAATCGGCTTGGTCGATAGGCTTAATTTCCTTTCATTCAAGTAAATGCTGCTAAACAACTGCAGTTGAATAAAATCTTGGATTCTGTCAGAGATCATTAGCACTGGACCTGTTCTCGTGTGGTGAATATCTAGAATACCATTAAATAATCTAACAGTCATTTTTCATGGATTTAATGTAGATAATACGTACAGAATATCGAAAATCACCACAAGATACCGCACCATATCGAATAATGGCGATTACATTGTTGGGTAAAATACACTGCCCACCAGTGCGAGGGTATTTGTTAATCTGACCTAGTGTCACGACCTGGCTGATATATTTTATAAGTCATAGTAAATAGATAAATAGATGACATTGCAGATCTTAGTCAAACACACATAACTAGTAACATTCAAGGTCGCATTATCTGTATTGTGTTTATAAATGGCCATATTTACATGTGAAAACCTTGTTCTATTCAACTGTGGCCATGTTAAAACCTTCGGTTGATATTTTTTTTATTCCCTTCGTTCTTTTTCCCGTTTTAATCATGTTTAAGAGTAAATTTGTTTTAATTTCTAATTTTTTTAATAAAAAAAGAAAAATACACCAGTATATGTTAGAAACCAAGTGAAAGATGGCTCCATTAAAAATTACATGTTGGTAATATCTTTGGCACATATTTGTAGTTTATTGATGTTATATATAAAATGTTTCATTGTAGTTATCCCTCAAGTCATTTAAGACACCAACATAATACTAACAATAACACAAAAGCAACACAAAAAACCACAAAAACAACAATGAGAGGCAAGCAACTGTCATTGACTTGTATGCCATGCACCATATAAAATGTCTTGCAGTGTTTGAGAGGGTCTGTGGAAAATGTTTTCCTTTATATGTAATCTTAAATACAAATAAATCTAGTAAACATGTGGTGCCATTAACAGAACATCAGAACAAAGTTTATCAAGGTGGATAAATCTTGTATTGTCTGTAATATTTCCTTAACTCATTTTAAAAGTAATTATTGTGTACAGGTTTAGCAATAGTTGCAGATAAACCTTATTAATAATACATTTTATTTCATTCTAAATTAATTAAAATTGGTAAATGTTAAAAAATACATTTTTATACGAAAATTAAAGCAAAAAAATATCTATAATTTTCTAAAGTTGCTAATAAACGTGCAAAATGATATACCAAATTATAGACATTGCATAATATGCAGAGCGATCAAAAGGAGTTATATATGGCTTGAAACAGGAATTTACTTGTTAGTTTAGAGCTATTCATTTGATTACCACGTATAATTACGACATATTTTTTCTTCTATTTACACGGTACATTTCATCAGTCACCACAATAAAGACTCGGAGACTCGGTAACAAACCATATTATTCATTTCAGGGTTTGTTTATATTCAGATATGACAAGCTCATACGTCGAATCCGACTGCAAAGTGCACATAACCAGATCTGCCCTAGCATTATGCTTCTGCAGGCTGTTTGGAATAATCAGCGCATCAAACAGTATAGACACCGGTCTGAGGCGCATTATGCGATGACATATCAGAGATTATGTTGTCTGCAGTTGGACTTGACTTACAGGCGAGTATATACGGTATGTACAAAATAATTGAATACAGGAAAAATGTGTCTGTATGAGTGCGTGTATGCGTGTATTTGTGCGATTATGATTTTTAACGTAGCTTTAGCAATTTTTCAGACAATATCGCTATGATGTCTGTAGTGTGGCAGTTTATAGTGATGTTTAGCACTGGGACATCATGCCGCATACATGTAGCATCATGTCCCACCCAATCACATTACCCTGACACCTGGCCGACCAGTCCTAACACTAATCTCTTAATGGTGAACGCCAAGCGGGGCAGCTGTTAATATCATTTTATTTTTATTTTTAAAAAAAGTATTTGGAAATGACTTGGTCGGGGTTCGAAAGGGTGATCTTCCACATCTTAGGCCACTAGGCCACCGGAGCGGTCTGCATGAGTGATTATTACAATTTATTCCTTGAAAAGCAATATATTGAAACATATCTGATCGTAGTCACTAATAACATGGACTTATTAAATTCCATCCAACTGACTAAACAGTGTAAAATAGCCACATTTTCCAAGACTCACCATAAGGATGAGAAGATTCCGCTGTTTGAGAAAATGCATTATTGAATATGTAAACAAAAATCATTACAATGTTGAGTGCTAAAGAAAAGAACGATCGATACGTAGACAGAGCAAATATTTCTAATTCTTTTATAGATTTATTTGCTATAACTCTTATATCAACAGTAAATTTTCCCCACTATTGTCAGAAAAAAGTCTTTTTGCCATCTTTGCGAGTTATGTTTATTTGCTGTCTTTGCGAGTTTTTGCCCGTCTTTTGCGTGCCTAGGAGCGTCTTTTCCGTCTTGGCGCGTCTTTGCGGTATATAGAAGGATCGCTTCCGGGGAATATGTGTTTAGAGTAGGGTTTTGTAGCTCACATCCGCGATAGGAACCAAAATGTCTGCTCAGAACCACTTAATTAAGGTCTCACTGGATAGTTTCGTATTTTGACCCCCCACCCCTAATTTTTAAGGTAGAAGGCATGAGCCTGATTATCACAACCCTAGCATTTATAAACTCACACATAAGCTAAATCTGTAATGTGGTTTACATTTACTTTGAGTTAGGCTTGTAAATGGGTTGCCTTGTTGGTGACTGCCTGTCACAGTTAGACTAGCACTGGAGATCAAATGCGTAACTTAGTCTGCAAATGTGCATCCGACTTGGCTTACGTATTTACATGTGTCTGCTTCAGAGGTAAATATCTAAAAATCTACATGGTTGAGGGGTGATGAAAAGTATGTTAATTTGTTATAGTACTAGTGAACTTTCAAGATCAATAAGGTACATACTGACTCTGTGAGCCTGCTTCTCACAGGAACAGGTTGAAAATAGCTCTTTTCTGTCAAAAATGGATGTAAAAAAGAGGGGTTGGTGGTAGTATAGGTTCAGTATCAAAACCACCAGTTGCTTAAGGAATTAACATTAATACCTTAGTCAGAATCTTGCAAGCATCCTTTCAACAAAAATCATTAATTAGTTTTTATTTGTATCTTTATTGTAAAATTATGATCATTTTTCTGCAATAGGTCTTTGTCGGATGAAAATTTGGCAAAACAACTGTCCGGTGAGACCTAACATCTGCGCTAGGCACCAATAGCCTTAGCTAAAACGCGCGTCGAAGCAACATTGAGTCCGGTACATATGACATTATTCCGGAATAATAATAATAATAATAATAATAATAATAATAATAATAATAATAATAATAATAATAATAATAATAAATATTATTATTATTATTATTATTATTATTATTATTATTATTATTATTATTATTATTATTATTATTATTATTATTATTATTGTTGTTGTTGTTGTTGTTGTTGTTGTTGTTCATGACCACACAGCTAATTAAAGTTAAAAATATTCACGTTGCCCTATTAAAGATATAGCAAAACAATTGGGAGATTGAAATAAATTTAGGCCCTTTCATCAAATTTAATGATATCACATTTAACATTTCAGAAAATACCCTTTACTTGTTTACTGATTTACCTTAATGAAATTCAAAATTTTCTGATGAACTTACATATATATGATCAATTGCCGTTAGTTTAAAATCTACATGAAACTGACGCAAAGTCTTCTACTAATTACCTGAATGAAAAGTGAATATATAATTTATTTCATACTGACGACAACGTTGTAGATTTTTTAATGTTTTCATTTGTCTTTACCTTTAAATGGACAATGTATTTCTTCTAGCTTTTCTCAAATAGCAGAATGTCATCATCATCGTCAACAAGAACTATAACAATAACAACAAAACCCGATATGTCAGAAATTTATTATTTAATGCTGTGTCTCCACGTAGATATATATTATTTTATTTGATATTATTTTATTTGTTAATCTCCATATAAATCCTTCATATGACCGGTGGTTAGGTTGCCGTTTATATGAGATAATTCATGTCTCATTTAATCCAATATGTCATTTCTTTCTTTTCCTAATTCTGATCTCTATATGCGTACTGCAGTTTTAAAATAAATAGTAATAAGTAAAGTGCTTATACTTGTATCTCTGAGTAAAGTGATATTTGTCAAAATCTACAAATTACGTGAAGGTTTTCATTGGAAAACTGACTGTCTTATCAGTTGAAGAAATAAAAGCGATAGATACGAAGAAAACTAAAGCAAATAATATCATCAGTATAAACAGCAGTAGTAGTAATGGTTTATAGATATCATTTACTGTTTCCGACTTCTCTCTGGGATTCAGTTTCAAGAATTATTCTTTTCATAGTTTAGTTTTCTTTTTTATTCCAAATTGTGTTATTTATGGCTGAAACTGATCCTCTTCCCCATCCTCTTTATCTTGAACCTACTAACTGTATTTTTATTAGTAATAAATGCTTCCGTAAGGTATTGACCACATCAATAACAACTTCATAGACTAAATAATATGCTCTAGGTAATACACTTAATATGATCTTTCAAATTATGTGCGCTATATAAATCTGTGCGCTATATAAATCCACAAATTTCATACTTTTCGTGCTTCTCATGGTTTTTTTTCAAAGAACATGCACCTGCGCTATAAAGTACCGTATCAATTCTTACATCCGTGCTCTAACCCAATGTACACATTTCTCTTTGTAATTGCACTAGTCATACTAAAGTTGGTTTCAAAGATAAGGTACCTACACTCGTTTCTTTCAAGCGATGCATCTGCACTCAGAACCACGATCTTCTTAACATTGCCTCTCACAGCACAAGTTGATGCCAAAATAAACATCAGTATAAC